CTACCACAATTTAATTCCACATTTGAATTCAAAGAGATTGATGTTGCGTCTGTTTTCAAACAACTATCAACTCTTAAAACTAATAAATCTACCGGCCTTGATGGTGTCAGCGCCAGACTGCTGAAAGATGCTGCAGTAACTATCGCCCCAACCCTAACTGATATATTTAATCAATCACTAAAATCTTCTATCTTCCCCAAGATCTGGAAAGACGGGAAAGTAACACCAATATCCAAGTCTGGCGATCGCTCTAATATGTCAAACTACAGACCCATAACTGTTCTGCCAATCCTGAGCAAAATTTTGGAACGTTTCGTTCACACGCAGATTTACAGCTATTTATCTGAAAATAAAATCCTCTCCGAATCTCAATTCGGCTTTAGACCAAAGTTATCTACGAGTACCGCATTGGCATTTTTCCCCGATACTATTCTTGATAATGCTGACAACGGTCTCATCACAGCCTCTGTCTTTCTGGATTTTAGCAAGGCATTCGACACGGTTGATCATGCTATCCTGTTGTGCAAATTGAAATCATTTGGCCTGGATAATAACTCGTTAAATTGGTTTGAGTCATACCTTACCAATCGTCAACAGAAAACGTCAATTAACAATACGTTATCCAGCTCATTACCTGTGTCAGTTGGTGTTCCGCAAGGTAGCATATTGGGTCCCTTACTTTTCATTATTTACATAAATGACATGCCCAACATTGTGAAACACTGCAAAATAATACTCTACGCTGATGACACTCTTCTATATTATTCCTCCAATTCGGTCAAAAACATTGAGCTATGCGTTAATGAAGATCTTCATTCAATCTGTAAATGGCTTGATGAAAATCTGCTAACACTAAACTGTGCAAAATCCAAGTTCCTCCTTTTTGGCGGTAACCGTCGCCTAAAAACATTCACCAATATCTCCATATACGTTAACGACCAACAACTTGCCCGAGAACAAACTTTTAAATATCTAGGAATCACCTTTTCAGAGAATCTCACTTGGTCCGATCACATAAGTAATGTATCGATAAAAATCAACCAACGTATTGGATTGCTTAGAAGAGTTAAAGTCTTCATCCCATTAAAAGCTCGACTTACAATCTACAATTCTCTCATCCTCCCATTATTCGACTACGCTGATATTATATGGGGTGATAAGAACAACACCACCCTCATGGATCAACTTCAAATCCTTCAGAACAAGGCTGCAAAGACGATTCTTGACGCTCCTTACCTATCCTCCTCCACTGAAGCTCTCTCAAACCTACACTGGCACCCACTTACCCACCGGCGATACTTACATCGAATGCTGACCATATTCAAATTGAAAAATAACCTAATAGACTATGACTTCGACCTACCTAAAGCCAACCACCTGCATAACACGAGACAAAGAGATCACATTCATCTCAGCAAACCTAGTACCAATTGGGGAAAGCAGAAACTTTTATACCAAGCTTGTAAGGAGTATAATGATTTGAACAAAAACATTATGTCAATTAACCATCTAGCTAGTTTTCATACTGCACTTCTTAAATCTCCATAGTATAATCGAACGCATTTTGCAAATAGCTCTTCTTTGTAATATATAATTATCTTAGTTCTATATTTGAAACTTTTCTTGTTTATGTATATACATCGCATATAACCTGCATGCATATTATTATTGTATAATCTTTTGTATTTGTATAGTTTTCTCAGGGACCTTCTGAAAAACACAACTTGTGATGTTGGTTTTCCTGAATAAATACTATTATCAATCAATCAATCATTTACAAAACCATTTATGGACAACAGCGGAACTAACCGTAGATAACCGACTTCAGCTCGCAATTTCTATGCTCGCAATGCATTACATCGATACGTCATCAATACATCATCACCTGTCTTTTCCCGACATCCACGGACGTAGGTCCTGAAAATGCAGCTGATTGAAACAGGTCGATCTCTTCCGAAAATTAAGGCTATGTCTTAAAGTGCTTATGTCACAAAAATTGTTTTTTGATATTTGGTAGAGGACAAAAAGTTAGTTAATAGGTTCTTTAGCATTTTTCGGTTTTCTCTTTTCATTCGCGAGATACGAGGCTCTAAACCTTGAAAAATTGGCTTTTAGCGAAAAATTGTCGCGCCCGAGAAAAAACAGAAAAGGATCTGGGGCGAGAGCCGTGTGACGTAGCTTAAGGGACGGAAGTTCGAATTCACATGTGAAGGAGTACTAAAAAGCTATTGGGAAGACATATGTTTTCCAGCACTCATGGTTCTCAATGTGACTCAGAATACAATTATATTCCTAGGTATATTATATAGAATGAATCAAATGATACTAGTCACGAAATTGGAACTCTAGAAGCAGTTGATAGCGAAATTTTAGGCGATTATGATGCATATTGTCTTTATGCCGATGAGCCGCTAGCGAGCCAAGAATGCTACGCGCGATATTTAAAACTATGCGGAACACAAGGAACAAAACGAGATGCTAGAACGAAGATTAGACGGCCTTGAAGATATTAAATCATGGTGAGCGTAAACATAGATTTATTTAACATTTTAATGGCGTAAAATAAGTATCTTTAGCTGATATATTTTTGATACGGCATCAGTCACATCAAACCCTCACCTGTATCATATTTCACAAGTGTAAATGCGGCGATTGTGCGATAATACATATACAATATACACACGAAGCTTGGTGCTGTCAGGAGATAGAATCTTGTAGGAATGTTGAATGTTCTGAAGGATAACTTCGTTTTAGAAGATGTGCCACAGCCGCCGTGCTGTATCACTCTATACTCGGGATTCAGACCTATTTGTTTGGAGAAATGGGCTTTAAGAATTGAACTTGCGAGAAAATACAATCGTTCGTATTAAATAAACGTGATCACAGATAAACACTGTAGCTTCAAACAAGAATATATACGTAATTTGCTCGGAACCAGTCTGTTTATATTTTCTTTGATCTCGTGTCTTGTATTTTCTTGCGAAGGTGATGGAAGTGTGGTTTTAACTCTTTGTTGTGACTGATGCCATATGAGCCCGTATCCCGCAAAATATAATATTAGCCAGAGATACTTATTTTACGTTAAAATGTTAAAATAAATCTATGTTTACACTCACCATAATTTAATATCTTCAAGGCCATCTAACCTTCGCTGTAGCATCTCTTTTTGTTGCTTGTGTTCTGCTGAATTTCTGAAATATCGTGCGTACCATTCTTCGCCGGCTAGCGGTTCATCGGCATAAAAGCATGCATCATAATCGCCTAAAATTTCGCTATCAACTGCTTCTAGTCATCTAGAGTTCCAATTTCGTGACTAGAATCATTTGATTCATCCTCTATAATATATACAGGAATATAATTGTATTCTGAGTCACATTGAGAACTATGAGTGCTTTCCGAATCCGAGCTACTGCCTGACATGCTGGAAAATATATCAAATGTATAATGCGCGTCGAAATTAAGTCCCTTAAGCTACGTCACACCACGCTCGTGCCAGACTCTTGTTGATACGCGACAATTTTACGAAAATCGCTGTTTAGAGCCTCGTATCTCGCGAATGAAAAGAGAAAACCAAAAAATGTTAAAGAACCTATTAACTAACTTTTTGTCCTCTACCAAATATCAAAAAAAATTTTTTGTGACATAAGCACTTTAATTGTAAACATAGGTCCGCTGTGGCGGACATGCATCTACTGAATAGCGTAGTAGCACTGGGAAATAAAAGGCATTGAGCAGATAAAAGCATAGATGTGCACTCTAGCTGACGTTTGGAATCGATTTCTGGCATTTCCAGAATCCTAACACAAGCACAACGTGCAAACGTCGCGTTAGAGAGGTTAAGATACCCCGGTTTCGGTGTACGGGTACGAGTAGTGTCATGTACTGTCATCTTGTTCTACTGATGTCTGTATAATTCCATCATACTTTTTCTGTTTTCTTGCAATAGACAACGCGGATATAATGCGAAAAATGTGCACCTTAATTACGAGTAAAGGTACAGACATCGACGAAAATATTGCTAACCAAAATCATGCTAACCAAAATCATGCTACCCGTACATGGAGACCGAAACCGGGGTATCTTAACCTCTCTATTGTTGACGGGATTGTTGGTTTATTGTTAGCTCACAGTCGGACTAGAAATCGGAAATTTTTATATACCGTGATAAAACTAAAAGATACAAATTTGAAGATACAA